AAAGTTAGCAAAAGTTATGCAACTTCGTTTGAAATAACAATCAATTCATCATTGATGGCTGCAGGTTTTGTTGTGAAGATTATTCAATTTTAGATGAATTTCTGACAAGAGAATCAAATTCATTACCAAATCTTGTTGAGAAAATTCCAGCCTTGTCTCTAAACCAGAAATCGTTTTTTTTTTGTTCTTCAAAATTTCCTTTCTTTTTGATTTGCTGAGATTGTTCAATTTTGACATAAGCTCATCTCTTTTATTTTTTAATGCTAGAAATATAAAAGTTCAAATTATGAAGGGTGACAGCTATATAAATATAAAAATATATTAAATTACTGTAAAAATTTTATGAATTATTTTGTATTATACAGTATCTTTGACTTGCTAGTTTTTTTTTAAAACACATGTATTTAGCAATATCTTGTATATCTCATACTAAAGTATTGCTATAAACATATTAAAATATGTATTCAAGTTTATTATTGTAGATAATAATATCTATTGCTAATTTTGTGCCTTTCATAATAATATAATATTTGTCATTATTGATTTGATTACAATTATATAAAGTGAGATAAACATAGCATAACAAAAGCGTGTTTTATTATTTTATTAAATGTATTAAAATCAGAACATTTTTATAGCAGTATTGCAATTTGAATTACTATTTTTAATTTTGTATTAATGTGTGGCTATTGTTGTATTCGAGTTTATTTTTCGAGTAATTTTGCTTGTTCATTTTGCTTCTTTTGTAGTTTATTCTGCATCTTACAAATATCTTTTGCGCTTTATCAAAAAATGGCAAAATTTCTTGCTATTGTGAAAATTATACTGAGGTTAATTAAAATTATTTAAATTGTATTATACATAGTTGTTATATGTATAATAAAAACATACTTACATATTAGATAGTAATGTTCAATATCTCACAGATTTTTTAGATAGTAGAATTAAACTCCTGAAGTTTTGTGATAAACTTTTCTTGAAGTTTTGCTATTTCTTTTTTAAGTTTTTCAAATTCAATAGCAGTAACTGTTTCAACATAAGGGGAGATTGCTGTAGAAGTTAGAATTTTATTAGAAGAAATTTAGAAAAGGTGCAAAAAAAAATTTTAGCAGAAAAAGAGATGAAGAAAATTTTAGAACAATAAGAAGTGAAGAAAATTTTAGTAGAAGAAAAGGAAATTTTTGCGAAATAAGAGGTGAAGAGAATTTCTGTGAAAGAAGAAGTGAAGAAAATTTCAGCAGAAAAGGAGATAGAGAGAACTTCAGCAAAAAGGAGGTAGGGAAATTTTCAGCAGAAAAGAAAATTTTAGTGAAAAAAGAAGTGGACAAGAGAATTTCTATCAAGAGATTTTTGTAAATAATATTTCTTGCAAAAAAATATTTGCAACTTAACAATGCTTCATTTAAGATATAATATTAAATCTATTATTTATTCACCTGTATTTTGTTTTAATGCTTTTTTAATAATTCATTGGAGCTATTCTGTGTCAAAATTTTTCTTGGTTGGAATAATAAATAGTTTGGTTGGAATAATAAATAGTTCAGCCTGTTTTTCTTTACCTTTTTCAAGACTATGAAAAAATTTTAAAGATCTTTTCTGCGTCTAATAATTCTATATAAAATGTATTACTATTAATCAACTTGTATACACTTGGATTTTTAACGATATTTTAATATAGTGAAAAAAAGTAGCAACATGTGATTTAACTAATTATATCAAGTGCAATATGAAGATCGCTTTGTGGGCAGAATCATAATCATCATGATTGAAACTGCTTTTCATATTCTAGCAAAAAATCATGTATACTACTTTTAATATACTTCTTCGTGAACTACCTTATTTCTTATTTTTTTTTTTATATTTCTTGATTGCTTAGATATATTTATAAATGTATATTGTAAAATTTCTTTAAAATTGCTTTTACGAAAAACAATTTCTATTATTACAGATGCTTTAGTTTGTAACCACTTGCCAAAACTTTTATTTGATTTTAAAAACTCTGCCACATCCAATAAATTAATAAATTTATAGTTATTTATCATGATATAAGTTAGAATTTACAATTATTAATTTTTTAAAAAATAAGACTTATGATTTCAGCTTTGGCTATGAGCTTATTTATTGTTAATTTTCTAAACTAAAGAAAAATAAATAAATAAAAAATATTAGTATTATTAATGAAACTGAATATTTGCATAACTAACAAATCTATTAATATCAGTATGTAGTTTTTAAAATAACCAATAGTATAAAGTATTGTGCAATCCAACAATATTTAAGACTACCCTAAGAGCTTATTGACTTAAGAAGAAAGAATTAACTTAGACAAACCCCTTTTCAGGAGCCAGATACGTCTTTATCAAAAAAACCTCATCAAAACAGTAACAGGCAGTATATTGGAAAGATATTCAAGATATTGTTTAAACCATTTGTATTCTAGTTGCTAAAGTAGCTAACAGTATAAATTATTGTGCAATCTAACAATATTTAAAACTGCCCCAAGAGTTTATTGATTTAAAAAGAAAGAATTAACTTAGACAAATCCTTCTCAGAAGCCAGATATGCCTTCATCAAAAAAACCTCACCAAGACAGTGACAGGCAGTATATTGGAAAGGCATTTAAGATATCATTTAAACCATTTGTACTTTAGTTACCAAAGTATATATACGACAAGAATAAAAATTTGTTAAAAGAAACTTTATATATAGAAAGATTTAGTCTCCACCTTGTTGATTTCAGTCTCGCTATAATAAAGTATAAACACATATTTATTAGTCTAAAGTAAACAAACAGAGAGTGATATATTCATAAATATCAGAATTTAAAACTTTAATAGCTTAATGTTAATACAGAAATAAATAGCATCATGAAAATATATTACATCATAATTATATAATTATTGCATTATAGTTACACAAATATCAATATTTGGGGTCAAAGCTGTGTGCTGTCACATGACATAGAGCCAATAAAATTGTTTGATTTGATCGACATGGATCAACCGACGAAGAAAAAAAAGTGTGTCGCTTTACTGACGGCTACGATTAAAGATAAATTTTAATATATTAGAATTATATAAGAAAGAAATGAAGAGGTTCAATAAATTTGATAGGTTTTAAAGAATAATAATAAAGAGGTTAATTTTGTAGGTATATAGTATATAATTTGTCGCATCATAAATAAGAGAAGTTTATTAAGTAAAAATAATATTCAATTTAGTAAGTAGGCTTTGACAGAGTAAATTTATTGTAGAGAAAACGGGTGAAGCATGTGATGTTAAATTTTAAACTACTGAGGTAAAAAAATAGGTATAAGAGTATTAAATAAATAAAGGATTTAATTTTATTTAAATTATAGATATAGTAATGCAAGTATGTAAAGTAAAGTTTGAAGGAAGAAGGTTATAAATTAAATAAATAGATAAAAAAATTGGATTGTGAAATATAAAGAAAACAGTTTGTTATATATAAAGGTAATATGTATTAGTAATAAAGTAGATTGTAATAAGAAAAGTTAAAATTTATAATATAATAGATAGTAAGACCGATGGATGTAAATAGAATATACAGTATAAAAAAAAGATATTTAAATAATAATTTATATACTTATTTTACAATTAATTTAATTATATTAATATGAAATAATAATTAATTAATTTAGTAAACTTGAAAATAGTAAATTATAGGGTAATTTAAGAGTGATTATAATAGTAAGAACGAATATATAATTAAAATAAAAGAGAATAGGAATAATAGAAAAATTAATAAAGTAATATATAAGTAATAAATTAGTGATATGCATTTGTAGTTACTCGATAGTATAAAAGAAAAAGGGAAGTTAACGTAATAAGGTAGAGTGAGAAATGTGTACGTAGTAATAGAATTAAGTGAAATGCGAAGGTAAGAAAAAGGTAAAAACGATATACTTACATAGCTTAATAGATGAGAGGAAGAGGAAAAAAAGTTTTGTCTTGATTCTACGGTTTGATTTTGGTCAATAAAGCTGGAGCCAGGTAATGATGTTTCATGTGCAATCTTCTTATTTCGGTACCTATGTTAACGTTCACGATTTTATCATGAATTTTAGTCCGAAATGACCTAGGTCAAATGACCTCTAATTTTACCATCCCTGATTTCAAGCAGCCAAATTTCTTAGTTAATTATAAAATTACTTTAATTTCTATTACGTTATTAAAAATAAATTTATTAAAAAAATTTAAGACCACTAAGATGTTTTTAATTCTGATATATAAAATTGGCACGGAGGATTTTTCATTTAATGGGCGGTTGCAATTTCATTAGTAGAATTTTTGTCTTAATTTTTTCTGTTTCTCAATACTTAACATGGCCTATTATCAATACTAGTGTGGCCTATTTTGGTGTCGAGTGAGTCTTGCATTTAATATCAATGTTAGCATTAGGAATCTTTATTACGAGATTATATCTGTATGTTTCCTGAAAATTAATTCCTTGACTGCTTATTATTAATATTAATCATTTATTCATGAAGTAATGCTATGCATAAAAAATAAAGATAAAAAGCTAATTATTCTAAATTTAGGTTCTGCAGTTTACCAGTTTACCATTTCAATAATCAAACAAATGATCACGGTAATATCTAATTATTATTATACGGGTTATAAATTTGCACGGGTTACATGGCCTTCGGCCATGTAACGTTAACCCCATGCAAATTTAGTTATTTTTTACAACCCATACAATAACTATAACTTATCGTTATATCAAAGTTAATCTGGAAAGAATATACGCAGAAACTTCTTAGCGTGAAAGATAAAGTCTGAAAATAATATTCCTATCGACAATATTAACGTACGCACGCACATACGCACGCATACGCAAGTAGGTTACACCCTGAACCTGTTATAAAATCACGGGACAATGGATTATGCTATCGCTATCCATCAATACTGCAAATATACAAGGACGTCTAGTTAAGAACAATTCGAAACAAACTTCACTTACGGTTATTAAAATCAATAATGAATTCTATTCAACATATTCAACAAGTAGAAGAGCTCATTAAAGAATATTTACTGGTATGCTTTTGAGTTTTTTTTCAAAGGCTATTAGAGAAATGATGGGTTCTTCAAGAATGAGCTTTTAAGATCTATATTTCTTCTTTTTACGAATGGAATAATAGTTTAGAGGGTTTTCAGTCACATTTCGGTCTTTCGAAACAGAATGTCGAAATGACAGAGATAAAGGGTTTCATGTAAGTGTTTTTATAACATTCGAATTTAGTCATATATACAGACCTTTTCCTGACTTGTATTAAATCTAATATTACTTTTTACTGTGCCTTCCTTATTTGTTTATGAATGTTATGAACTGCTACGTATCAATTAAAATTCTTGTTTTTACATAATTGTTAGGCCGAAAAAATTATTGAAGAATTATATTCATTCATAGCAAATAGTGATATAAATGGATTACTTGACTATTGGGAGTATTTAAATATAAGATATTTTTCGAGATTAGATGCTAGATATTTTGGAAGTGTTAAGAAGTTTAAGATATCTCTTTTAAGATACTATCTTGTATATGGTAATTGAAAATACAAAATTATTGTATTATTCCATTTTGAAATAGCTAGAATTATGTTTTTTTGTTAATAGTTGGGGTTTGGCTTTGATCTAGGTGGTGACGAAAAGAAATTCTGGTGATGCTAATTTTGTTCTAATATTTTTAATTTAAATGATGGAAATCAATGATGAAATAATTAGCGACACAACAAAAACGTAAAGAAAAAGTACTAGAATTCTTTGATATGTTTGAAACGGAATTAAATGGAAATCCGGAGTGGTCTAAATGGTTTGGTGAGGATTTTTATATTTCTGATAATAATACTTTTTTTTATTTTTTTTTTCTTTTAAGCGATGTTGATTCTAATTAGTCTTTTTTTCGTTTTTTTTTTTTTTTTTATTATTATTAAGGACTGCCATTTTCAAAAAATCCGGCAGCAGATCCGTATTTTGAACCATTTTTTACCAAACAATGGTTAGAGACATTTACAGCGTCGTTACATAATTTCCTGAATACTATATTTCAAAATATGCGTATCCTGTTTTTATATACCAATGAGAAAATTTGGAAAAATATTGCTATTGACAATATTTTATATGAATTTATATTCTTATAATTGTCTTAACAAATATTCACATATAATCGGAAAATAGCATTGCCGAGTCTATTGTGTTTCAATTTAGATCGATTTCAAAGACGTGCATTGGAAACTGAGGTTCAAACTCTACATAATGTGATAGTTGATCTCAAATCAAAAATAGAGCATTGTGATTCCGAACTTGCGAACTTACGACAAACGGTAACTACATAATCCTAAGGTATATACATGGGGGTGAGTCAGTAGAAACACACTAAATTTTTTTGAATTTTTGAACAAAGATAACAACTTAAGTTTTTTTTTATAGTGTATTTCTACTGACTCACTTCCATATACAAAACATATTCTACATTTTTTATAATAATTATTTTATAAATTCATTCACAGGTCGTTCAATCTCATGAATTATTAAGCCCACAGCGATATGCAAAGTCGTTGCTTGATCAAAAAAATAAAGATGCGTAAGTTCACTTGTTTATTTATAACATTATCAAGTATCATGCATCGATTTGTATATATTTAGCAATATCTTATGGAGTCAAACTACGTAGGCACTATGTGCCACAATTTTCTATTGTTTCAAGTAGGTGTCAACATTTTTTTGCAAACTGTGGTATAATGGTTTAAAGAGAGGTGCGGACATTTCTCATAGATATCCTCTTACGTCATATAAAATTTGGGTAGTTATTGAAATGCTATTTTACTTTTAATGTCTGCACCTCTAGTTTAAACGATTTCCGATCCCGATAATTTCTACCTGCAGTGATAGAAAATACTCGTTGAATGATATGTTTAATCGAATTTTTGGTTAACATACATTGTTTGTCTTTAATTAATAGGCGAAAGTCACTCTTTAAGAAGTCTTACACAGCTCAACCACAATGGAACAAAATCGCCTGAAACATTTTCTGATGGCCGAAGCATGACTTCGATATCAGAATTTGATATGGATGAGACTCAAAAGTTGTTAGGCGAAGATATAAACTAATACGAGTCAGGTTGGCTTTATTTACTCTTTTTTTTTTTCAGGATTAATTGAAATATATGAAATTATGTCAACTTAGTTTTTTTTTGAATTATGTCTGTTATACATTAAAATAGAATCTCATTAGATTTGAATCCACTTAGTAGATTCTAAAGATACCTGAGTTGAAATGTAACTTTAAGTCTACCTAGGTGGCTAGAGAATTTGAATCAACCTAAAGTTGATTTCGAATCTATTTAGTAGATAATTTTAAAATCATAATTGATTAAAACTTAATTAGATTTGGAATTTTACTATAGGCATTATATATTACAGCTTCTGAAAAAATCCTTTGAATTAGAGAAAAAAAAATACAAATATAAATTTTGATTACAATGTCGCGCTTAGAGATGCGCCCTCGCGTGAGATTTCATCCTCGCGCAAGTAAACCACATGATATATTTCGCGTGAAATATAGAAAATCTTAACGATCAGTAACTTATGTAACAGTTTAAAAAATAATTAGACTAAAAATTTCTTTTCGTATTATACACTTATATTAACGCAATTATCGTATTAAATAAAAAAAGAAATATTATATTCATGTTATATAACACCTATATAGTTTAATTAGGGTTAGGGTCCAGTTTTAAGATAAATATGGGTTTTTTATTATACAATATAAGGTCCTGATAGGTCCCGATTTCAGTTTTCATGAGGTTTTTGGAGGTCCTGAACATTTTTACTTAGAGTACCCGATCCCGTTTACTTAGTACATTTTTGAGATATTTCTATAATTTTCTATAAAAAAATTAAAAGTTATCGTTAAAACTTATAATCCATTGAGCTTTAAATTTCGTTTTGTATGAAGTCATCACTCATCTCGCACGAGATCATATGAGTGCCTTCAAGGGAAAATGAGACTTCTGGAATTTAAGTTTATAATTTATCGGACTTGGTTTCTGAAATCTGATACGAACTAAGCTCTATAATTTATAAACTTAAATTTACGAGGTTCATTTTCCCTTGGCACTCATATGATATGTGAAATACGTATATCTGTATATGCTAGGCTTATCTCGCGCGAGGGACATCTGTAGTCGCGCTACAGCATGCCTCATGTAACAATAAAGTCACCAAATTAAGAACATGTATTTGGCAGATTATACAAATCTTCATTTATTAGAACTATTGTAATAATGTATGGTGTTTTCATTAACGTTAAGAAAATACTATATACAATTCGGCTACATCTGTGAACTATGCTAATTATGCTACGTATCAATTTTATTTATGCTGCTTTTATGCTCGATCTAATTTATGTACGTGCATAATCATTGCACGCATTACTCGTATAATTAAAGATGAAACTTTTTAACTGAATGGGTAGCTAAATAACGCTAATATTCGCGTAAATACATATAGTCACAATGCAAGATTAAAAAAATCATGACCAGTAGTATCTGCACGATAATGACTCTTCGTTATATGGTTTATCCGAGTATCTGTCGGAGTTATCCAAGAACGGACAAACTCCGTTTTATCTGAACAGATAAAGAATACCACTTATAGCTAAGACCACATACTGTATCTGGGAATTTTTGTGATTCACTTATTTCTATTCACCGAATTTGAATTCTTCCAGAAAGGTTGTCATTAGTGGTACAAAGTTCTCTTGGCTTAACGGAGTCATCCTCAAGAATTAGCCAGGGCGGCCCCCCAAAGTACTGTCACATGATCAATCTTCGCCAATCAGGAAATGATAATATACGATTGTTGGAATATATAAGCA